TAGTTCTGTAAAGAATTATGTACCAGGACTAAGACCACATCCAGACAAAGGCTGAACGACTCAAATTAGTAAATGTTAGGATGTGTGACATGATCAAGGCAATCTTCTAAAGAGACTGGGACCACAAACTCGATTAATGAGAGATTAAACAGTTAAGGAATGGTTCATTTCCATTTGCCGGGGATTGTTTCATCCACTGGACCTTACAGGGGTTAACACTACATGCTTAAAAACTGGTGTGATGATGCCACAGAGCGCGGGAACTCCAGTAGCGCACACCATGATCCCACAATCCAAAGATCAGGTACATGGAGCAAGGCTCAGAGACGAGAGGAATCTTTTTTTTTGTTTTTTTTTTTTTTTGTTTTGATGCACCAAATAAATATAAAGAAATAGAGATTTTTTTAAAAAACATTTAGAGCTGATTGAGGGACAAATTAACCTTTTCCCATCTGTTTTCAAATAAATATTACATATACTAAGATTTTACACAAAAAAATGATAATTATTTTTATTAAAACAAATAGAAATGTTACAAATTAAAATATTTGCTGAAACAATTAAACATTTTTCAGGTTTATGTTCACAAATCCAGAGTGAGTGTGTACCGAGAGATGCAGCTTGGTTTGCAGCTTTATTTGCCGTCAAGTCCTCCTCCCTCCTGTCCTTGTTATTTGTGCTGAGAAGCCCAGAAATCACCATCACAAAGTGGCACATGCCCTTTGTCCATCAGCAATTGATGTGGGCAATGGAGGAAACATTTTGGAGGAGCGGGTGTGTGAAGTTTGCCAACATCAATCTTGTTTCAAATTGAACCGCAAAGTTACAGCTGAATGGATTGGCTTTCAAATGCAGGAGGCCATGGCTACACGGGATTCAATCCCAGAGTGAATCTGATTTGATCCCGTGAGCCATACAAAGGCACAACCCACTGATTGATAAAGCGAAGTGAGGGGAGATGAGTGAAAGGAGTAAAAAGAGACCCAAGTCAATGCGGGAGGGTGGCGTGAGCGACGGAGAGGATGGTGCCGCGGAGAAAAGGAGGAAAACAGATGAGAAAGCAAAAAAAAAAAAAAAAAAGGAGAAGAAGTCTGTGAAAGGAGAATAAAATAACACTTAGCAAGACCAGGTAGTTCTACAGAGCCCATTTAATGGCTTACACACAAATTGTAAAGATGTGAAAAAGCGTGGCACTGACAGAGGGAAAATGGAGATGTCTGTCTACGATAACAGATTTTTTTTTTATCTCTGTGTGTGGGTGATAACAATTTTATGATCACAAAGCACAGAGTCGCACCGGAGGTACGTCTAACCTTGACATCAGCCGCTGAGGCGTTCCATCGGCACATTTTAAAAGTTTCGCAAATATTTTTTGCTCACAGAAAAAGGGCTTTTTTTGTTAGTTACCATAGAGAAATTAAATGAAGCATTTTGTGCTTAAACAGGGCTGATGTTACAAACAAAAGTGAAAATACTTTTACAGTTAAAAAGAATAGACATACTTTAGATTTGCAGTAAAATATGAAATTTCTTCATAGCTCTGACTTTAAATATTCAGCTCTGACTGAATATTTATTGACCCCAATAAATATTCAGAGAATTACTCGTATGTGAGGAAAAACCCATTTGTCCTTAATGCATAAACTCTTATTATTGATTTATTTTTTTTTAGTTTTGTATGAATCTGAATTCTCCCCCTTACTGTAACTTACTGAACCTCTGAATTTTGGGCAATTTCGATTTCAATTCTAAATGCGTCTTTTATTGGAATTTTCTGTTACAGACCAGCAAAGTTGAACGTGTGAAATTGTGCATTTCTTAAAATGTCAGTGTCATATTTTTTTACACAGGTACCCTGGACACTCAAAAACACAAGTGCACATATGCACATATTAAGAAGCTTAACAGCAAATTGGACTGTTTGGCATTTATTCACGAATCTTATGAGTCCAGAAAAGGTCCAAACGAGCCGCTGGAGGTAGCACTTTGGAAAACAACCAACAAACGAGCGTAAGCGCCGATAACGGTCGCTGCTTTAAGCTGCTGTTCTGCCAGCTTTTACAGCATTTTCCCACAGAATTACCATCACGATTATACCAAGCACATGTAGCATGGGTATCAACAGAAAATGTTAAAGTTATTGATAGCTACAGAGCGTCATCCATCACACTAAAGCCATCGATTTCTGTTTGTCAGCCCGCTCGACTCGGCTACCCGAATATCTTAAAGTAGCATTGGCAGCATATTTCCACAGCGTCAGAGTCCCAGAGACGGACACGCTAAAGAAATAAATAAGTGCGCCACTCCTAGAAGACTGAAGCGAAGCCCGAAATCCCTCTTGATTATCATTTCTTTTCTTGGTAAAACTCATTAAACAGCAAGACCTATAAAAGCAGCAGGGGAGATGACAGTCTTGCATTCTCAGTTGTTTTAGAGGCTTCTGAGCGCAATAACCGTCTGAAAATTGGGGGCTGTTAAAGCGATTTTTTTTTTTTCTTCTTTTTATTAGTTTCTGTCACTGCCAAAGTGTTGCTTTTCAACAATGCCAGTAACAAGCACGAATCCCAAGGAGGGCGGAGATAACAGAAGCCTTTTTTGCTGCATTTTCTGAGGGCAGCTCTGTAGGGAAGGCATTTACACCTGCTTGCCTCATCTTTCACAATACACTAGGCCCCCAAAGTGCTTTACTTATAAATATCCACATCTTCCTGGTGTGTCGTTATTATAAAACTAAATCCTCAGGAGGTAATTCTGAATGGTTTGGTCTTACCAGCTAAATGCCTAAACAAATTTTTACCTTCACCAGTTTCAATTGAGAGTTAAAGAAAGACTCCATGCAAACAGTTATGATTACTACCCAGGAGATTTGTTGACAAAACCAACCATAAGTTCAATGCATTTGACTATTCAGCATGAATCATGAAACGCACAGGAGGAAAACAAATGAACTACTCCCTCATTTTAGGTAAACCCGTCTTAGCAGGCTTTCAGAGCGGCACTAGCTACATCAAAGCCCGTCTCGCCGACTTTCAACTCCACAACTCCACTGACGGGGTGATGAGGAGGGAGGGTGTCGGGGTGTTCAAACATTAAACAGCATTTTTCATTCATGAGAAAATCATGTTCTGTTTCAACAATAGAGGGAAAAAGGGCTGATTCAGTCAAGTCGCTGCAGGGGTAATTGATAGGGATCCAGCGGAGGTAACTCCCAGGGGAAATGCTGGATCATGAATTCCTACCATGCCAGCGGGAACACGGACGATCTATTGAGGCTTTTTTTTTTTTTTTTTTTCCCCACAAACCCCAGTGGGCAAGAAAGTGAAGTTAATAAAGAATATAAAAGGGCATCTGAAGCTGAAGTACAGCCATGTGTTGCAGAACTACAAATATTTCGCTGGCTTTTGAATTCAGAGCCTATCTGAAAAAATTATCTCAGATGTAAAGTAAATACCTGAAACACAACCTCGGTAAATACAAAGTGTAGTTTTTAAATAATAAGTTCATTTAGTGGGGGAGGTACCCATGTCGACATGGCCCTATGCAACTTTCCTCCAAACCACAATATTCATTAAAGTGAGTTTTTCATCAGGCAGATTCTGATCTCATTCCAGACTCACAGAAGTCAATCAGAACCTGACAACAACATGAAATAGGCTAAAAAATAACCTAAATAAGAGATTAAAAAAAAAAAAGATTATCTTTGGTGTTGAGTTAATGTGTCTATTTATTCAATAATTTAGAGGCAAAAAATGATTTTGAACTGAAAATGTTCCTTATTTTTTTAAATACCGTACATAGCTTTTGATGACAATGTAATTGTTACAAACTCTGGAATTCAATTGATTAAAAGTTTTTAATAGAATCCCACCACTAATATCTATATCTGCATAGAGAAAAACGGAGAGACGCATACACATCTCATAAATATGTTTTTGATGTGTTTCTGTGAAGAGTATGAAATGTATGACTGCCAGGCCCTGTTCCTGCTCCCACTTCATTAGGCATTGTAACAACTGTTCTTTCCAAGCCACATCCTCTTTCCATCTGTATCACTCTGGAAAATCACCTTGCGGCAGCCCAGGGAAAATTGCTGTTCATTTCACAGTAGCAAAAAAAGGAAATGAGTCTAGTTTGTGGACCTGGAGGCTGTGAAAGAGGCAGAGCAAGAAACTGCTGGCAGGCTGACTGGTGTCCAAACAAACGCTGGGCATAAGAAAAAACTTGCAGGATTCTGTATAGTTATGTCCACACACGCTGACAGAGCTCAGATTTGACTCTTCTGCGCTTGACAGGGTTGACTTTTCCCCTCCCACTGCTGCTAGAATTAGAGGGGTGTACATACTGTCAAAGCAGTGGAAAACAATCAAATTGTCATGGGGGGATACATCAAGTGCTCTCAAACAGCCTCTTCCACTATAAAAAAACAAAGAAAAGCTCTGCACTGCAACTCTTATCCATAAGCAAGTTGGGTTCCTCGTTGTGTATCTGAGAAACAAACTGGCTGCGACAAGTAAACTCCCAGAGCTTCCTTCAAAGCCTCACATCCACCCTGATAGAAGATTGGCCTACTGGGCTGGAAAAAGGCAAGAGGCAAACCAAGCATAGCTGCCACGTGCAAAAGTTCAAGATTGTGCTCAAAACAAAAGGATGAAAAAACAAAACAAAACAAACAAACAAAAAAAAAAAACAGATCTGCAACAGCTCAATGGACACAAAAAAATCTAATGCAACACGAACCTCAGTGACGATTTATGCTTTCTTTTAAGGAAAACCAGGCTAAATGGGATGTCTGACACAAACAAAAACATTTAAACTCAAAGCATGCAGTGAAGATATAAGAAATAAACGCTTTGATTTAGAATAATTAACATCTAAGTGGGGAAAAAAATGTGTTGCCACAAGATCAAAGTATACCTTGGCAACCATCGCCTCAGAGGCCAAATGAAGCATGCGTGAGAAGATTAATTAAGGGCGCGGTGGAGAGAGATGACACCTCTTACCTTTACTCTGTGAGGAGAAGCACAGGGAGAGCTGAGCAAATAGGTCAGGGTTTTCAAACTTCTCTTCTTTGACTTTGATCCAGAAGCAATTCTCTGCCATTTCCTGAGGCACTATCTGCAATGACACAAGGATTCCATTATCGCCACAATCAGAAACCGTCATTCCATCAAGCTGCCACTCAAACTTCTTCTAGCTGGAAGATAGAAGAGGTTTTGTGAGTCTTTTCCTGTGTGTGGAGACGCGCGTGACCTTGGGTGGCATGTTGAGCATCTGAGTGGCAAACGGGACTTACAAAAGAAAAAAGCAAACATGAAAATGTGAGGCTTGAAATTGCGAATTATTCGACGATGGTGAAGATAATCTTTCAACACTGTCGAGGTGAGCACAGACATGAAAGCTTCTCATTTTTTTTCCATCAGAGACTTGGACGAGAGAAACATTTCTAAAAGTAACCAACCACACCGAGACAATACCTCACCAGCAGAGTGGACCTCTGGTATTTGTGGGGCCTAGGGACCACAGCCACCTGAAAGCAGCTAAAATTCACAAATACTTCAGACCCTCTCTAAAAAGTTTTATAAATCCATATTCTAATATTTCAAACACCAGAAATACTTTTATCTGCTATATTTTTCACAGCGGAAACTGTTTTCGCACTATCGCAGAAGCTAGCATCCAAAGTCTTCCTTATTTCTGAAGTTGGAGGTACAGCCAATCATTATGAAGGAAAATTAATTGTGCTTCTGGATTCTCTGCAAAAAGCAACCAATAGCATGTTCAAATAAATGTGTTATTTGTCTTTTAAACTGCAAAGAGCAATCTATGTTCTTTTGTTGTCGTTTTTTCTACTATCTAATAGCATTACAAACAAACTAGATGCAGTTCAAAATGTTATATTTTGCTTATGTTTGACAGTATGGTTAGGCCAAAACGCCCACATCGGTGCTCACATTGTCAAAATGATGTGACGAAAATCACGTCATTTTGTTCACAGCCTCTTGACGCCTCTGGTGAACTTTTGCCTCCCTCTGTATGCAAAAGTAAACTAATGTGAATCCAGAAAAGCGTTTGGGCAGCGACTGGAATGTGTGTTGGGTGAACTGGTGATCAAAACAGGCAGCGGTCATCTGAACGTAGATTAAGTGCATCTTGTCATTCATCTGGTGTATCTGTTAGACCAAAACACTGAACTCCTCATGCTCGGTTCTGGTCCAATGCAGCCAAAGGACGCCTCTCTGATGCCTTCTGCTCATTTTTTTCAGCTTCCAGTAACATGGAAAACAAAATGAAACGTTGCAGCTCGCCGGTCATTAGTTCCTCATCCGAAGAACTTGTGAACTAGTTCTCCTCCCTGCCATGATCTCTGAGTTTACCTGTAGGCCTCTGTTGTAGACCACAGCTAGAGACGCCAAAACATCATGATGTAAACTGCAGGCCAACTTTTAACAACTTTGCACAAAATACTTAATTGTAATCAATATTTCTGGCCCTCCCAGTTTAAATTTTATTGCCCACTGTCCTACATAGATTCCCTCTTACTTATGGGACTGACTCTGGCATTTAAGGGGTTTAACATTCAGAATGTGTGCCACGCATGGTGAGAAGTGAAGTTTTATTCATTAAAGAAAGGCAATTGTTGATCTTTAAAAGAGCATGTATTGTGTTCAAGGGACGCTGAAAGAGAACCTTATTAATACTTGACCAGAAAAAAATTTTATTGATCTGGTTCAATTTCGCGTTGATTTTTTAAATGCTCTTAAAAAAAAAAGACATTACTAAAATTTAGGGGATTAAAATTTCTGAAAGTTGTTGGCAATCATAAAAAGAAATTGAATTTTTGATTCATATTATTCCTACTGCAAACTTTAAGAGAGCATTTTTTTTTGTTTCCGAGTGACTCAGGTTGAGAACAAATTATTAAAGGGACCTCCAAGGGCAAAAGATAAATACCCCCAGTAAGTTACAGTTATTACCACCTAATAATAGATGTGACACTACTCCTTTTCTACTACACATTCTGTTGAGAGCTCCAGAAATATTTCCTTTTGCAGCCTTTTATTATGGCCCCTGCCTTGCATTTCACTTATTGCACTGCCACCACCATCATCATCAAACCAGAGTAATTATGTAAAGAAAGAGTTGTAAAAACAGCACTTATGCAACGCTGACAGAGTTGCAGCTGGTACTCAACAATCGTCCTCAAGGCTGCAGAGTAATGGTGATAAATGCAAATGTGTTTGAGAGTCGCTGGCTGCGTTAATGGAGGTTTATGAAACTTCCAACACAGGCTTGGTTTCAGTGAAGCACAGATAAAGGACAACTGCACTCTGTTACTGAATGCGGTAACACTTTATTTGAAGGGGGTTGAATAAGACTGTCATGACACTGTCATAAACATGACATAGCACCTGTCATGAACATGAATGAGCCTTCATGAATATTTATGACTGTTGTCATAAAGCGTCATTCGGTAAATTATGTCACTTTTAATACAAAGTTGACATTATTCAAAATGTCTTTGTTATGACAACTTGACATTAACCAATAAATCATTACTGTTTAAACTTTACCTTTAATAACATAAAGTTACCTAATTTTTAAAGTGCAATCAGTAATTATTTTATAACAAATTTATATCAGTAATGATTTCTTGGTTAATGTCAAGTTGTCATAAAGACATTTTGAATAATGTCTTTTTTTTTTTTTTTTTACATTTCCTGAGTAAGTAAGTTGCACACTCAGTGTCTTGGGAGCGTCTCTGGCTCGTGTTACAGCGCCATCACATACAACAAAGGGAACAGGTTGCTCAAAGTGTTTGTTTGGTTTGTTTGACAGTGCAGTGTGAAAGCAAACTGCAGTAGCTAAAAATGTAACAAATGTTGTAATGTTCGTCTCCAGTCGAACCAAGTGCACCGGACTAACAGGTGTGAAATCAGCCCCAGAAGTCGTGCTTATGGACTGTGTTAAGTAGCTGGTGCACCCAGAGAGCACCTATACGTGCAAACATAAAAACCCAAAATGCCTAACCCCCGACTCACTGCTCAACTAAAACTTGAAAACTTGAAGAAACAAAATAACAGGGTAGTCATTCAATCCCACTACCACTGCTGCCTAATTAAGAAAACTTTAAGGGTAAATCAATATTCGCCATACGGCAAAAATCATTATGAAGGGCTCCTTGTATGATCTCAGACGGGACTTTTCAGAGTAGAGTGTGCAGATTTTCCATGACAGTGACTTTTCTTTGGGCAGTCCAACTGTCCACACAGAGTGCATGTTAGGTTAATTGGTAATTCCATTTAAACTGACTCGCAGAGTCAGTGTCTGTGTGTGTGTGTGTGTGTGTGTAGGAGAGAGTTTGGCTCTTTTTCTCAAGAGCTTCCCAGTTGGCCCTTTGATAGACTTGCAACCTGTCCAGGGTGTGCTCCGCCTCTCACCAGATGATACCAGGAAAGGCTCCAATCCCCTGTAGCCCTGAAGGGGATGAAGTGGGTGTGGAAAATAAATGAATATTATTGCTGTGACTGCTGCTGCTCCCACAGCCGCTTTTACTGCCACTCCTGCAACCAATAACACTAACAATAATGCTGTCTTATTTAGAAAAATGTGACTCTACTAAAGCAGAAAGAACATTTTGTACTCAAATTGTAATTGAAGAGACCTCGGTGTAAATAACTCAGTTGATGTGAGAAAGCCGTAAAACCCGACAAGACGTTTTAGTAACGATTTCTACATTGTATCCAGGCCTATTTTAGAGCTAGAAAACCAGAAAATGTTTTAAGTGTAAAACACAAATTACAACAAGACACCAATTGCTTTTCAAAGCACATAGTTAAAAAGAACACTTTTGTCTCCTAGAAGACAGAGCCCTTTCTACATAGAAAAGATGACCTGGTGTCTGGTAAGGCTTCACCTTGAAGTTAGTCACTCTCAATGACTGTAGGCAGAAAACTTAACCCTTTTTTTTTTGGATGAATACATTTCTACCAACAACATATTGGCAGGATGTGTGGCTACTTATTGAAAACCCAGAAAAAAGTAAGAAATGACTTACCTTGTAATGATTTGTACTCAATATGTGACCTCTGTCAGTACAACTGTAAGTGGATATCCACACATCAAATTTAATCAGCTATTGCTTTCTCTAAAGATCCCTTCAGTTTGACAAATAGCTTCAGTAGAGACATGTTTGTTTTGGTGTCTGAGCTAAATGAAGGAGAGATTTTTTTTTTTTTCGATCATCAAAAAACTAACATTTCTATTTATTGATATATACCTAGACAAATAAATATAGTGACAGGTTTTAGATTTTTATTAATAAAGGTTTTTACTCCTGCTTCATTTCCATTACAAAATGTTTGATGTTGTTCTATCACATAAAATGGCATGGCAAAATATGAATAATTTAGTGTAGTATGAATGCTTTTGAATGTGTACTACAGTTTTAAACTAACATGTTTTTAATTCACAAAGTAAACAAGCCGTTTAAAATTATGCTTTGCAGTTTATTCTGGTTATTTTTGGCCTTTAATATCTGACACTGGTCTTTTTCTGTCTAGTAATTTTGTTAATATTTTGCTGTTGAACTCTTGGTCCACTAAGTGGCTGTGGGATTTTCCTGCAGAGCCTGAGCAGAATAAAGATAGCCTCTGTGTGTTTAAGGGAAGGCATTTATTACAACTTGAGCTAATGAGCCAATGTCGAGTTTAAATATGAGCCTGTCTCGTGGCACTTTGTGCAGCTGTGGTTATTTTCTTCCTCCCAGTGTATTCATGTTTCCTTTGTAAAGTCATTTTCATATGCTCATAGATATTTGTAATCAAGATCTTAATATTATGCTAAAATCTAATATTGTAAATAGTAATAGGCTAAAGTTACTTAGCTGAAATGGAAGCTAGAGAATAATTTCATTTTTGTACAATGGCCTACTTAATCTTAATTTTCTCTGGGACTAATACACCAAAAAGAACGTGAATGCAGGACATAATTCTTTAAAAGCGATTAGCAATTAAAAGCTGACATTTCCCTTTGTAAGCCCGTGTTAGACCTGTCCCATGTGCATGTGTTGTAGCATTGCTTTAGGCTAATAATGCACAGCCGCCGCAACCTGCTGCTAAACAGGAAATGGCTGCAGCAAATTGCAGTGTAGTGAGCAGCTGTATGATGCAAATGAAGCATGAATACATAGTGTGCCATCCATTAAATTCAATTTGTTTACATTTGTGATGGTAGGATAGAACTAACTTTTTCAAGGAGTACTTCCCACATGCATATAGTCATCATCTAGGGGCTGCTATGCTTTGTTGCAAGAAATATGTTGCTCTTTGCTCTTATTTCTGGATGTTTTCCTCTCATGCCAAGCTACTCCGGTACATGGCAGCAAGATAAACATAAATCCTCATCCAGGTGCACATATGATTTTAATTGTTCTTTTAAACATATTTCCAACATATGTAGCAGTGCTAAGAGTTGTGCATCATCTGCTGTAAAAAGAACATGTCGACGTGAAACAGTGAAGTTGAATTAGCACACTTCTTTTTGTGGGGTATTTGAACCGTGCTGATTTTGGAGACGTATACGGCAGGAAAACATAGTGGATCTATAAAAATGTTTTGTTATTCTCCTCTCTTTTATACAACTGAATAGAAGTCAAGCCTGGCACTTGTGTACTTCCATCTGCTCCATATAGAGGAGACAGATGACTGATGTTCCACTTCACTGACACAAGAGAAGCAGATTGTTTTTCTTCAGGTGGTTATGAATTTAATTTGCATCATGAAACCAAATTCCCTGCAGAGGCAAGGTTAATCCTCTTCCACTTTAACCTGTTTACGTACACTCCTGCAGACATTGGTCATTTGTCCTCTTGCACATGCACACAAATCATGTATGCAAAACCACATCAACCCATAAAAATGAGCGATGATACCGATGATACCAGATCAAGGTGCAAACAAACACAGCCACCCTGGGAATTGGTAATCAGAAATTGCATTGTTGTTTCCCCTGTTTTGTAAAACAGAGAAAGGATGAGCTCAGGGAAACTTACAACTCGGGGAAATAAGTAGTATTATGAAACTGCACATCGAGAAGCTGCGAGGAAGACTTCAATTCAGTTACAACTGACCTGATTTTCCCTCTTTTTGTGTCATTTAGAACCGGGTTCCTTTTGATATAACATTTCACCAGAAATTGGCCAGTTTTCTCAGCACTGCTTAGGTGGAATCGATTTTATTCACACACTTAACGGTAAAGAAATATAAGAACACCGGTTCTGCGGGAATCTGTACAAGTCGGCATAAAAGGTCAATGTAACAGGTGTTAGATGTGTGATTCATCAAAGGATTCATCTTTGGTTTGATCGTTACTCTCCAAACTCTGGCCAACTCAGTTATGAATTTTTCAAGCTGGCTGACTACAGATTCTACTCGTGTAGTTTCAAGACATCCTCAAAGAACTAATATATTTCCTGGCTTATTTAAAACAATGTTTAACCTCAACCAAGATGAGTGGCTGGTCGGAAAATCAAAAATGTGTGTATATTTCCAGCCAGTTTACTTTTCTTGCTGCCAAACCAAATCTGGTGAAGAGAACTAATGTTACTTTCCTTCCTTTTAGCATTGCAGACTTAATTTCTCAAAAGAGACGTCTTTTTGGGTCTTTGTTTTCCTGAAGAAGTCTTAAAACATAAAGATCTTCACAACCGCTCCTGCCTGTGATCTTTTTGAAGCTGTTCATTTATTTCAAGTTTAGAAAAAAGCAGCGCTTTCGAGCAGCGATTGCTCGTAAGCAACACCAGGTCAGTTGACCTTTGGTCAGAAAACATCAGATCATTTAAAGTTTAATTAGTTTGCTATATGATGTAAAATCAGAGAATAGTTTTATCCATCAGGACTACAAAACAAATGAGAATGGCTTTCCTCTAAACCTGGATCATTTTTCTGAATAAATATGCATAAGATACGCAGTGAGTCTACAAAAACACATTAAAATACATAAAAGACGACCTGAGTCCACTAAAACCACCAAACATAATTTGCACTATGAGCATGACTGCAGAAGAACAAACATGGCATTTTGTTTGCAGTGTGTAACCAAAGGCAGAAGCACCAGGATGCACAAGTGGTGTGAAAAACCATCAAATCGACTCTAAAATTTACTGAGACGATGGATAAAACATTCATAAAATACAACCCAGGTGGAAGAGAATGTATCGTTGAAATTGTTTTTAAATGTGACGGAACATTACACAACACATTCTTTCTCCAAAATATGCTAAGATGGTGCAAATCCAATGGCATCTGAGCAATAAAAATGGTTTACCATCAAATCCTTTGAAATAGGTGTTGTGAGAGGAAGAGTGTGGCATGTGGTAGAACGGCAGTTTGAAAAGACTAAAGCTGCATTTGGGTAAATCTCCTTCTGGTTTAGACTTAACGTTATACTGTGGAGGCCTAAAAGATCAAAAAAGTTACTAAAAAAAAGGTGCAAATTGACGGTCTGTGTGCAGATTGCACAGATTTCCTCTGTAAGGGGAGAAGTAAGATTTGCATTACAGCCTTAAATCAGAACACAGGTCTGCATGAGATCAATGCACAGATTACCATACCTTGGACCAGTTGACCCTCTTCATCACAGTTTCAGGCTTGTAAGTCTTCTTTGGCTCCAGTCCATAAGGCAGCTTGACAACGGGTAACCCGGGGGGAGGAGGAGGACCACCAAAGCCCCCAAATGGAGGAGGAGGCGGGGCCCCACAACCTGGGGGCGGTGGGGGTGGTGGAGGTCCTCCCCCTGGGGGTGGAGGAGGTGGAGGGGGGACAGACGCGTGGCCAGGCAGAGGAGGCGGCGGAGGCGGAGGGGGTGGACAGCCACCAGGCGGGGGTGGAGGAGGAGGAGGTGGAGGCGCTGCGCCTCCAGGCAGCGGTGGAGGAGGTGGTGCTCCAGGCGCAGCTGGGCCTGCAGCAATCTGCAAAAACCCAAACAGAGAAGTCTGTAGTGGAATCCATCCCGAGTGAGGCTCTTTTCACCTGATTTAAACCTGAATCTGATTTGATGAGGAAAAGTCACAATAGCAAATGGAGAAGAAAAAACCTGAATGGGGTCAAAAGTTTTCTAACAGTTCATGTCTGCATTTCATTTCTGTAAATCACAAAATCAGGCCAAAATCGGGCTTTAGCGCCTTTCACTGGACGCTTGTAAATTACAACTGAGGAGCTTCCCTCCCTTTTTCTGTGCAATACGTGAACATTTTTAATCTATAAGTTTAGGAATTTGTCCCCCGAGTGACTTTTCTGTGCATCTTTCGAGATGAAAAACTGTCGAATGTCAATAAAATGAGGCAGCGAGTAAAATAGAAAAAGCTTTCCCAATCCTCTTTTTAATGCAGCACAAAGATCTGTTATGATCTTGTCTAGGGATACGGCTTATGAGGCAGGAACATTTGAGCTTTCTACAGGATAATTAATCATATACTTAAAGACTTAAGCGTCATATTTATGCTGTCTCAAATTTGAGGTAAAACTATAGGATAAAGCAAGAAATTTTCCTGGTAGTCGGAAGTGTAAGTGTTTGTACATATTGGACTTTCAACACATTGTGAACATGTGTTGACATGAGTTCATACAGTTCAAATATCAGTTCCATATCTGTTAATTATCGTATTTACCGTTACGTACAAAAACAAACAGTTCCTCAACATTTACTTGCCAATAGCCTCTGATCTCAACTGTATTCAGAAAATGTAATTTCCAACCAAAACTCTCTGCGTTATGCTATATGTTGACCACTATGCCAACACATTTACAAAAGTTTATTTGGTGGTTTAAACTTCAGCCATATTCCGGCAACTTGTTACCTTAGAGCATTTCATTACTTCTCTTTGGAATTCTTTAAACGTTGGGCAAAATGTGAAATAACACAGAAAAATGTAAACCACTTTAATTTACAATAGATAAGAATGTTGCTCATTATGAATGCTTACAATAGGGCACTATTAAACAGTCAACAGGGATGTAATTATAACGCGAGACATGTCAGGACTATCAAACATTTCAAATTACCAAGAAGCCGGTGAAAGTCCACTGCATGGCCAAAAGAAAAGAAATGTTTATAGAAATAAAATTTATGCCAATTCCAAAATTACAGACACTGTTGCTCCAGTTAGGCGCTGATTAGATGTCTCCTCTAACCGAAAAGCATTTCCACTTCTCATTTCCAAAAGCAATTCCACCACAATGTACATTTCCCCCACTCACTTGATTGTGTGCGTAAAAATGTAATTGGTTTCATATTTAAAGACGCTACATGGCATTTCATTACATAATGGCACTGACTGATTTCTTATTAGAGGCAAAAATTAAAAAAGGCGTTCTTCAAGGAGCTCCTCGCTCAGATTGCTCAGAGCCCTTCGCCTTAAAAAAAAAAAAAAGAAAAAAACACGCAGTGATTACACGTCTGTCAATCTTAAAAGGCTAATAGGAGAGAATGGATTCAAATTAGCTGCTGAATTAGAGCAGATTTGTTTTCATAGTGAGGGGCCTCCATCTCCATCTTCCTCTGATCCATCAGCTGCAATACTAGATTAAGGAAAAAACTACTGAATAATTGGCTATTTTCCTCAGTTTTAGTTTCTACATTTTCAATAGAATGAATCTGCATTGGGCAATTTGTAGGGAAAAAGTTCAAATATTTCCTCTTTTGACCTTCCCAACAGTTTGTATATCTGTTCAGAACACCCACTCTTAAAAACATGTTAAATAAATGTTTGTTTCCAGGTTCAGTGGACGCGGCGTGTGATTAAATGTTTGCCTCAAGTGTTTAAGTATGAAGATTAAGGACAGTCGACTCTGATTGCAAACAGTGTTTGACTCATCTTTAGATTGATCAAATGTCTTAAAAATACAGAGAGATCTAATATGTGCTAATTTGTTTACTGAAACGTTGTCTTGCAGATTAGTGATTTCCGGAGGAGTCATTTCAATGTGCAACTAATAAAGAAATAAATGTAGTATTCCAATAAGAAACACTTACTTACCTTCACCGTTATTTTAATGAAACTGGTGTTTTATTACAAAGTACCTTGGGGGTCCGTTGACATCTGGCAGTAACATGCATCTTAAGTGATTCAAATATCCCGTATGTTTTTGGTGACCTGGATCTATACCTGCACTCATAGCAATCATATAACCGATCTTCAGCTACGTTTCCAGTGCCGACTCACTTTTACACAGGGTTTTCTTCATAGTAAGTGATTGTGTTTTATTGCTGTGGAGCCCTTAGGGATTAAAATCTTTACTGTCTCAGAACTGATGGTACGTGAAGTCAAAATTTACTGCATTTATTCTCATTTACTTAACCCATATCATATCCGTTAAGCTACTTAAGAAAAATAGAGCTGGTAGCCAAAACAACGAACCAAAAATGCAGCTGTGTCGCATCTTAGAAATGTTAATGTCTGAATAACATCTGCTTTTTTCTGTTTAGCTGACAGTTCACTGACTTTCGCGACTTGCCTGTAAAGCGGATTACTGAGAATTATCGCTCAGCACAGATTTTGATCCCAGCTGTGAATGGTCAGGGCTTGCAAGGTCTGCTTTTATCCAATTTAGGCAGGATGCATGTTAATACCAGGCCTGAACGGGGCCTGAGGGCGCAGAGCAAGCATGCAAAAAGGACTAAAGATCAATCTCATAATCAATTTGACAATTTAAAGCACCGCGATCCTTCATTCCTTTACTGGATACTTGGATTGGAAGGTGATTAAATGTAGGATTTATGTGTCAAGGGCCAAACATGCAACAAAGACACCCACCTTGGCTTCAGATTCCCTGATGAGTCTCTGAGCCTCTTTGAGTCTGTCATTTTCTATAGTTAACTGTGCAGAAAACACACACACACACCAGAGATGCACACCACAAGATCAGGCATGAAACAGCACACAGCAGACAGGGCAACAGAAAAGCACAAATGGAGGGTGGGTTAGATAGACAATGAACTGAACACTAGTGAACTTCAACAGGTAACAAAGATTCACACCAAACACAATAAAGACGAGAGAAGTTTAGAGGACAGAGAGAGGAGGGGCAGGGAGTTGCTTACACAGTTAATGACAATGTTAGTAACAGGCTCTATTCCCATTATATCGGAATGAGGCATTCTTGTGCAAAAGGCAGAATGTGATGTACTTTTACACCTAAAACAAGATGTAACCCATCTTCAAAGGAACATCAGTGGAGAGCAACGACTGTATAAAAGGAACACGGCGCAGCATCACTGACAGTTGGTGCTCCTTCAAAAACCTTCTTCCATTTCCATTTTTTTTTTTTCCCCCAGCTCCTGGCATCATGAAAATACATTTCAACTCCACACCCTCAGATGTGTGATGGGCATTGATTTCACTGTGCCGTCTTTGTTTTAGAAATGTACCCATTGTGCTTTGATAATTCACTCTCTGCAACCTTGCCAAAAGTAAGAGAATGGGAACATTTTCTGCAGAGACTAAAATATTTTCCGTGCAGCCGATCTTACAAAAGCTCTCGCTATGGACTGTAGAAACATAAATATTTGATGTGCACACTGGAATAAAAAGAGATGGAAACTTTGAGCTGTGTGGCTTAAAAGGATCTTTTTATTTTGTAAAAATCTTTAAAAATTAACGTGCAATATTGAAAGCTAAAAATGTTTATTTTACAATTCAGGAGGTTCAATAAAATAAGAGTCAGGTAGAAAAAGAACAATATGATGCTTAGCAAGGACATCCTGATTTCTGAACCAAATTTAGTTGAGTCAACATCGGTAAAACAGAATATACCTGAAAAGTTAACTTCCGTTTTTTAATTCAAAAAGTGAAACTTCAATTTCAGTTTCTCCTAAAACTTGAAAAACCCTGCACAACTTGTAAAATGAAAGGTTCTGTGACTTTCTGTTCTTCATTTAAGTTCTGATTTTGATTCTGATTTCCAAAAAGACCCTGGAAAAACTCTGGATCTTCTGATTCTGATCACTGAGCCCAGGTATGACGTTTCTGATAAGTTCGCGCCAGAACTGGCTTAGGACAAGAAATCTAAAAGACGTAACTAACGGATAAGTCGGTGCCCAGTGGCTCAGGAAGCACCGACTACAGCTGCAGACCAAAAATCCCTTTAAAAGGGTTAAATATTTTATTTTAACGGCACATAAAGCCTCTTTATATCTGAATCAAGTAACCATCTTAACTTCAGTAATACAAATTCTGTATATATCAAACATACCTTGAAATAATTCGACATTACAATTTGATGCTTCAATATTGGGCTGCTGTCTCTTTAAGAAGCTCCAGCTCATCATCACAACAATGCTTCTCATTTTGCTGTTTACAGCTGTTCTTAGGAGAATTGGATTGAGAAGTAATTTGAATTTCAGGCCCAGCGGAGCCATCAGGTGTTTGCTAATTGCTGCTGCTGCTAGTCTGGAGGAGCTGACTGGGGGGATTTAGGAGGAAGGTGTGCTCTCTGAAGAAACGGTTCAGCTGGAGATTGCAGCTTGAAGAAGAAGTTGTCTGGAAAGAGGTGATGCTGTGTGGAAGCAAGCGTTTTACGCACCCTGGCTGCCATGGAAGATTCAAGGTTTTCTCAAACTTGCACGGAAGAGTCAAAGCAAAACTCCAGGTAAGTTTTCAATGACGGGATAGCAATGTAACATGATAGATTAAAAAAGTCAATTATTCATAATGCTTCCCTTTTGTTGGCGTTTGTCGCAAGGCTGTAATTTCCCCTGTTGCTTGTGGACCGTCTTTAACTACGTTTTTCCTTCCACTAAACTTTTTCAGCGAGAAGCTTTTATTGAATCTGCCTGCTGCGTAACTGTTGACTCAGCAGTCTTCCCCTGTGGTTGTGTAGGTCAGCAGATTCATCTAAAATACAACAAATTATGTTCCTAAATGAGCTGACTAATTTTGGGACTTTTTATTGGCTGTAAGCCACAATCAGTCAAAAAATATTATAAACAAACACTTGACATTTATCGTCACATCTGTATGGAATATATCCTTTTCTGACATACACCAACTTTACAGCCATCCCAACAAAAACAACAACAACGAAGCTCACAGAGCAATCTCTTCCTCGAGCTCTGCTACCTTTGTCAGTTAAGTCGAACTTCGTAATGCATCAGGTTAGACGGCAGTCTGGCGTAAAAAGACAGCGAGAAAGGTCTACTACACCTCCAGCTCCTCTGGGGGCCATGCTGGGTCAGCTACAAGCTGGCCAGGTTGTTAAAACCTATTAATGGGATGGCGCAGTGTGTTCCAACGAACCACTGCAGTGCTGCATTATTCATCACCTCCAGAGCCGATTCAGTGAATAGCTTTCCCCTCCTGCCTTGAATGGTTGCAAGCGAAAGGTTCGGGGAGTGGTGGATGAGTTCTATTTTCTTGTGATTTCGATGTCCTTTGTTGATGTTTACTCCACTCAACTCAACTGGGAGATAATCAAACAGACACATCAAACATGCTGCTTGTTACAATGCCAAAGTTCTGGAGACAGACTCTCATTAAACTTGTTGGTTCACAAACAAGGTGAAGAGAGGCAACTCAGACATGCAAGTGTTTTAACGTCTGACAGGAATTCTGTCGAGGAGACAGATGAAAGGTTGGGGTTATCTCGAACGACATTCATATTCAGCAAAAAAAAAACACCAGCGATCCCACAGAGGCTTTGATGGACAAACTGAATGCGTGTCCTCACGCTGATCTGAAGGTTTGGCGCTCTGATGGGTAATAACTTCTCTAAAGCAGCGTGTCAAACGTGGAGTGGGTTCCAAAACACACCCTGAAGCAGAAATATGTCTGTCTATGAGAAAGAGGCTGATGTTCAGTGCTTTCTGTAGCACCTCAAGTGTCTCTGTTGCCCAAAATCAGCTGGATGATTATTACAGGCCCACAACAAACACCAATAAATCCCTGTAATTTTATATGCGTGCATCTTCCTCGGGTGAAGGGTCAAGATGAAGTTGAATAAAAGTTTTAGTTATCCTTGGTCTTCTGCTCATCTGAAATCAAATCACTCCTAGACATCCCTCCCTCTAGCAAAATTTATAAGCTCATTCTGGTGGATCCCTAAGGCTATGTTCACATAGCAGGCAAATAACACCCAAGTCTGATTTTTTTTTTTTTTTTTTTTTTCCCAAACCCGGGCCATGTCCAACGTTTTCACAGCAGTCCAAATGGCCCAACTCCAATCCTTTCAAAAAAAAAGTATCTCGCCACTTTCATATGTGGTACTAAATTGGATACGTATGCGATAATTTTGAAAGAATCTGCAGTCAGAATGGCCATGCCGCTGCTGTATAATTCTGCCCCAGAAGAAGCCAGACGCAGTAAACAATGGCTGAAAATTATGATTATGAAATTATGAAAGATGTCTGTCAGAGAAGCACGTCACATCAAGATCACAGCCTTCTCTACAAAAGTTGCTTTCAATGCTCCAAAAAAAAAAAAAAAAAAAAAAAAAAAACCCCCGGCGGTGGACTGTTTTTTTTTTTTAAAAGG